AAAAATCTGCAAATTTGTTCTTCAAGTGGGTAACATTTCTTCACTTGATATTTGGGTTTCTTGCGGTTTGTTCTTGGAGATTTGGTTCACTTATTTTGTGAGGTATTTTCCTCTTGTGATTTACACCTTGGTGTGTTTGTAAGGCTTATGCCTTTTGGCCACTTTGTAATCTGATTTGGTGATAGTGGAAGAAACTGACCTACCGGTCGTCGTGGATGTACCTCAAGTTATTTGAGGGAACCACGTAAATCTTGTGTGCTTATTTATTTTCTGTTATTTTATTTATATTGCTTCCATTGATTTACACTTGTGGGAAAGCCTATTTTCCCAACACCCCCCCTCCCTCTTCCTCTTAATAGGGACATCTACAATTTAGTGTCTTATTAGACTTATCCTTACAAAATAAATCTCAAATACTACACTCACGTGCCAAGCAAATACATCAGTTTAATGAGGAGAATGTACCGAAAGTCCAACGTAAAATGTCCATCTCATAGATTACTCCAACGCATTGGACTATCAGTGCACGTTTGTCCATCAAGTTTGAACAATTGAATTTGAGGCCAAAGCCCAGGCCCATTAGCATACATATCTATTTTCTATGTTGCCATAATCTTTTGTGGCCGAGTCCCTTTCTTTGTCGTAAATCCATTTGCTAGAATCACACTTTATACCTTTACAATATTTTAAAGAAAAATCATTTAATACCATAAAATATTAAAATTTTTAAATTATACCCTAAATTTATTAAATTGATGTATAGTAATATGGTACCTACTGTCATTAGCTTCTACCATTTATTCTGTCAACTTCAATTAGGTGATTTTTGATAGACTGAGCGATAGAAGCTAACATTAGATCACATTTAACACATCTAATATAGTAATCCCTATTCTTATTCTAATACATTAATACACTTCTTATNTTTGTCAACTTCAATTAGGTGATTTTTGATAGACTGAGCGATAGAAGCTAACATTAGATCACATTTTACACATCTAATATAGTAATCCCTATTCTTATTCTAATACATTAATACACTTCTTATACGTTGGGGAACTATAAAGGGTACATTACTGGAAATATAATTTTTTAAATGTATAAAATGAGAATTCATAAATCTTTTGGGGTATGAAATAAAATTCACCTCATCCATTTTTATAGCATCTGGTAGTGTTGTAAGCCTAAAGTAAAAACCGACAAGATCCCCACGTGTACGCTCACACCATTCACCTCTCTTCCACGAAAACATTGAATAAAACCCTTAAGAGTATATAAAGCCCTTAAAAGTCACTTCCAAAAACCCTAATATCGTTGCGAGCGACCCTGAGCGATCGTTTCTTCAACTTCTACATCTTCGCCGACTAATAGAAGATGAAGGTCTGTTCCGTAATCTGCAGAAAGAAAACCCTAAATTCGTAGTCAATTAACTCTCTCTCTCTCTCTCTCTCGTTTTTGATTAACTTGAGTGTTGTTGATTTTGTTGTTTTTGGTTGCAGTTCAACATCGCAAATCCAACGACTGGGTGCCAGAAGAAGCTCGAAATAGATGATGACCAGAAACTGTAGGAATCCTCTTTTTAACTTGCATTTATTAGTTGATTTTACTTCCATGCCAGAGACAGAGTTTGTTGTTTTCTTACAATATTGAGTCGTAGATGTTTTTTTTTTATTAAGTCGACTTTTTGAGATGAATTTTCGATCTTGTTCAATTTCATTTATTGGTATCAACCTTTGTGTAAGTTTACTTTGGATTTAGATTGGAGCCTTAATATTCGGCTCGCCGAACGTTAAGTTCGTTTTGTATTTAGTTTTACGATTTTGATTGTCTCAGTATTTTCTGATTGTATGTTGGTTTGGACTTCAAATGTCTGTGGCTGTGAGATGTTAAGGGAGCATTGATTATGAGCGCTATTAGCTTGATCTAAATTAAACATGATGTGAGACGGTGAGAATCTGAAGTTTCTTCATGTCATTTGATTCAACTACAATTTTTCATTAATAATAACAAAGACTTTGTTGGATATAATATTGGGAAAATGATGTTAGAATAAACTAGCTCTGAGGATGTTTTTTGGGTTGCAATAATAGATTTGGCTTTAATGTAGACCTCTCATATTCATTTTTGAAGATAAAGGCAATAACCATTATCGTTTGTTAGATTTGTGAAAGTTGTTTTGGTGGGCTTTTATTTGATTAGCTGGTTGAAAGATCAGAATAACAATTTCACATGTGGTAAACTTCATTAATTTTGAGAAATTGTGAAAGTTGTTTTGGTGGGCTCTTATTCAATTAGTTGGTTGAAAGATCAGATTTGCAATTAATTTCACATGTGGGAAGTGGGAACCTTGATTAATTGTGAGAACTTGGAGATTATTGATCAATATATCTAGCTAGGTCTTCTAATGACTTCCATTGTAATTAAAACAATTTTTTATAGGATGTCAGCAGTTTGAGATACAGATAATTGCTATTAAAAAAGCAGTATTGGCATTTTTTTTGTATTTGTATGAAGTGCACAAAGATATGTTGATTGACTTTTCTTTCTTTGGATGTGACAATTATGTGTCTTCTTGATCTTACCATAGAATACATTTACTATTAACTGTTCATTAGAATATATTAATTACAATGTGATGTTACAGCCGAGCTTTCTTTGACAAGAGGATCTCACAGGAGGTCAGTGGAGATGCACTGGGGGAGGTATGGCTTTGCTATTTTTCTGCTAAATTATGTCGTAGGTTTTCTCTTTAGTTTTTGCTTATATAATGAGCGGTATGTTGACATATACTCATTTCAAATCATTTGACAGGAGTTCAAGGGCTATGTATTCAAGATTATGGGAGGCTGTGACAAGCAAGGTTTTCCAATGAAGCAGGGAGTCCTGACTCCAGGGCGTGTTCGTCTTTTGCTACATCGAGGTGAAATGTGGAGCACATAGTGTCTTGTATATGTTGGCATGTTAGTTTTTACTCTCTTTTGATGACTGTTCATGGACTTTTTTTTTGTTTGAATAGGGACTCCTTGCTTCCGAGGATATGGTAGGCGAAATGGAGAGCGCCGAAGGAAATCTGTGCGCGGGTGTATTGTTAGCCCTGACCTCTCTGTTTTGAACTTGGTCATTGTTAAAAAGGGTGAGAATGATTTACCTGGACTGACTGATATTGAGAAACCAAGGATGAGAGGTCCCAAGAGGGCATCAAAGATCCGGAAACTCTTTAACCTATCCAAGGAAGATGATGTCCGGAAGTATGTTAATACTTATCGCCGCACCTTCAATACCAAATCTGGTTAGTTATCTCATCCTTGTTTTTAGCTACCTACATTGTTGTACAGAGAACTGACTAAATGACAAGAGATATACACACTGACGTTCCTATTAGTCAAGAGTGGTAATTGCTATGGAAAACACTCATTTATATGCATTAATCTTCTGTAAAATAAACTGTGGTTCATTCTGTGGTCACAGGGAAGAAGGTCAGCAAGGCTCCTAAAATACAAAGGCTGGTAACTCCCTTGACTCTGCAAAGGAAGCGAGCTAGGATTGCTGACAAGAAGAAGAGGATTGCAAAGGCCAAATCTGAGGCAGCTGAGTACCAGAAGCTTCTCGCCACCAGGTTGAAGGAGCAGCGGGAACGGCGTAGTGAGAGCTTGGCAAAGAAGAGGTCCAGACTCTCTGCAGCTTCTAAGCCATCTGCCATTGCGTAGGGCATTGGGATATAATCCTTGGTTTTGGATGTTTTTTGATGTCATTGCTGAGTAACATAGTGTTACAGTAATTTTTACTTCTCTTTGGATGGCAAGTTCATTTGACTGGCTGTTGAGTACTGCTATTCTACTTAGAAGAATTTTGGATTGTTGTTTTAAATTTGATGTCATCATATGTGGTCTTGTCACTCCATTTGGCATTTGTTTGGGCAATATTTGTTGTTGATTAAGATGGTGGATTCCATCTGCTGTGTGTTTCTTGATTGCATTTGGATAGATAGATGTTTCCTCTGGTTCATGATTTTTAAATGATTTGGGTGAAGTGTCATTTTAAATTATACATAGTCAACAATATTTTTGAAAAAGTGGTCAACCATGGAGCTAGTTAGGCAGTGGCAACATAAAGTTGAATTTGTGAGTATTTCGGCCTTCGACTCGAGTGGCAGTGGAGGTTGAGAAAAAAACTGTTGGTCTGCCTGAGCTTCTGTATGTCTGTTGAATTGTTCTGCCTCTATCATGGTTGCTAAATCTTTTTGTGGGTGGGGGATTTGCTGGGCGTATAGCATTCTTCACCAATAGTAGAGTCCTCTGTTCAATTTCTAGATTTTCCCGTGAAAAAAACTCGACCATTGCAACATATTTTTGGTCTGTACCCATTCCAAGAGGACAAGTCAATCTCACAACAAATTTTGTCTCCATAGGTAAGCCTGCGACACTTTTTTTAATTCTTTTCAGGAAAATAATATATTTTCTGGGCAAATATCATTTATGGCCCCCAAACTATACCCCAGTTTAAATTGTCTCGATTTAGTTTTTTTATCTCGGTCGATCATAGCAATAGACTTTGCGTTGGATGAAAGGGGTGATTGGTACGATTTCTATAGTTTTAAGATGAAATTGAAAGAGTTGGAAGTTGAGAGCCCGAATTAAAACCCGTGCGAAAGTTTAGTGCTATCTAAGATATTTATCTTGAATTTCCAAACAAGCTTTACAGCATGTAACTGGATGAGAGCAAAAGACTAATTCAGGGTATTACAGTGTAAAGCTAGGACCACCTTGGATCTTTCTCGAAATCCAAACATGAGTATCCACACACAACTGATCACACGATTGAACAATCTTTATAGCTTTGTTTTTCTATTCAACCAAGTGGTCTAATCACAAATTTTCTCTTCCCTTCAAGTCTCCATCAGAATGTCCACTGGCCGGCTATTGACCACCCTACAGTTCCTTCTTATCTCCCCCGGCCGGCCCGATTGTAAGTCACCCATTTTGATCATCCCCTCAATAAATGCCTTAAAGAATCCACTTTGATCTATACTAAACATTCTTGCATAGTTTCGAGTTTTCGGGTATGTAAATAGAGTTTGATCCGAATTGAGAAATCCTCTCCCATTGACCAAGTCCTTGAAATATTGGTTATCAAACACTTGGGGTGTAGCATCTAAGCCTCCCGTCACATTTTCATCTCCACCATGCGGACAAAGCTTGTTTAGCTTTTCTCTGAATTTGGGTTCGATGGTGGGATCGGGTCGGCCAGTGCCGGATTGATTGTATAACCGGAAGACGATGGAGAAGCACCGACCTTGGCCGATGGAATGAGACCCAGATAGGGCTACTAGATCTTTGACAGAGAGATTGTATTTGCTGAAGAGCTCAATGAGGAAGCTAGCATTTGCTCTTGGGCTTGGCATGATGTTGTTCGCGTCTTCTTGGCTGGCCATTAAGCTATCCTTTCTTCCCAACTTCACTTCCCAATTGGGCCCTTCACTCTGTTTTGAGACACACAAGTAAACATTGATTTGGACTTACAAGTTGGGATAAAAAATCACAAACAGTGAATCCCACCTGATAAATTTTATTCTCGATCCGTCCTAAGTTAAATTCTCAATCCGTCCCTCCTTGCTAGGTCAGGTGTTTGGAGTGATATTCGCACATCTTTTGCGGGTTTTATTTTATTTCGCGAAAAAACGTATTTTAACTCGACCAAGATAAAGCAAGACTAGATTAAATAATTTAGTTAAGTTGTGTTTATCCACTGTGCTGTTTAATGAAGGTTACTACTTACTGTCATGTGTAATGTGTTCCCTTTTCTTGTGGCAATCCTTATGAATGAATTGACAGAACAGAGGAATAAAACAAATTCCAAAGCATCTGTTCAATACTCTTCAGGTACCAAAAACTCATAAGGATAATTCTAAGGTCAATTTACAAAAGCAGTTTGTTCGCATATTTGTACGCGTTGACTGGTTCTAAATCCGGAATAATGGGAGTCTTGTGCGCTTGACACTTTTTGGATTAAGCACACAGAATAAAGGAGACCATACTTACCAGAACAACAGCATCTCTAGCGGCCATGATTATGATATCTGCACAAGAAACAACACCTGGGCAGACCTTCTCTAAGGCTTGTTTGGCTTCATCAATAACTTCATAAGACCTCAGTGAATTTATATTCGATAAGGAAAGTTTTTCCCCGAGCATGTTTGGGGTATCATCCAGCAACAAAGAAGCATCACACCCCTGTAAAAATCAAGTAAATTACCAAGAAAATGATCATGAGAGAGAGGGAGAGAGAGTAGGGGGTTTTGATGTTACATTTACAAAGCAATCATGGAATTGCAAGCGCATAACTGAGGCAGCGTTTCTGGGTTCTCTAATCATGGCCTTCTTGATAACATCTCTGACTATAAATTCGGCTTTCGGGCAAGTTTCCAAGTAGAATCCAGTCCGGAGAGTTGCCACCGCGACAACCATGGCTGTGTTGAGGAGGAAGAGGAAAAGGGTAGGAGTCATTTTTNGAAGAATCCAGTCCGAAGAGTTGCCGCCGCGACAACCATGGCTGTGTTGAGGAGGAAGAGGAAAAGGGTAGGAGTCATTTTTTTCATCAGTGGTTTGGTCAGTATGCATTGGAAATGGTCCAAATACAGAGGTTTCTATGGGGTTTATAAACTTTCTTTTGGATGCATCTATGGGTGGATGCCTACTGGTGAGTAGGGTTTTTTTTTTTTTTAACGCTACACAATTCGAATTACCAATAGAACTCAAAAATATATACCGTAGTTAGGATGAATGAGTGCTAATGAATGATATACATTTAGATTAAAATCTTTAGACTTTATTTGAATTGTGTAATATTTTTCTTCATTTATTTTTGGGTGGGTGTACAGGAACAAATTCTCTTTACATGGGTGTCGGCAGCATACAGGGTTTCTCCACTGACATTATGAGGCAAAACTGGCCAATTGGCTGATTGTGAGATTTTTTTGAAACTAAATTAGTCCAGAGTTTGATGGGGGTAAAGCCATCCCACTATNATACCGTAGTTAGGATGAATGAGTGCTATTAATTTTTTCAATGCAACATATTCATCTAACATTCATCGGATGAATGATATACATTCAGATTAAAATCTTTAGATTTTATTTGGATTGTGTAATATTTTTCTTCATTTTTTTTTGGGTGGGTGTACAGGAACAAATTCTCTTTACATGGGTGTCGGCAGCATACAGGGTTTCTCCACTGACATTATGAGGCAAAACTGGCCAATTGGCTGATTGTGAGATTTTTTTGAAACTAAATTAGTCCAGAGTTTGATGGGGGTAAAGCCATCCCACTATTATGGTCGGTTCCATAGAAATAATATAATAGAAAGGTGAAAAATAAAATGATATATTTTTTATCTTTCAAGTGAGAAATTTTTTCTTTTTTCTTTTGTGTTTGATAAGGGGGATGAAAAGTATGAATAATTGATTTTTTTTTTTTGTGTTTGATAAGATGAAAAGAGTATTTTTTTTTTAAATTATTAAAAAATATAAATACATATTTTATCATTATATTTATATATCCAATTAATGTATATATAATATTAATTTGATAAATATAATATATATGTATATATCAAATGATATGTAAACAAATAACATATATTTTAATACACATAATTAATTTTTCATTCATTTTTCCTCTCAATTTTTGAGAGATTAATTTTGGTAAGTTAAAAGAAAAATTAATTTACCTATTTTTCTATCTTTCATTATTAGACATGATGNGTCGGTTCCATAGAAATAATATAATAGAAAGGTGAAAAATAAAATGATATATTTTTTACCTTTCAAGTGAGAAATTTTTTCTTTTTTCTTTTGTGTTTGATAAGAGGAATGAAAAGTATGAATAATTGATTTTTTTTTTGTGTGTTTGATAAGATGAAAAGAGTATTTTTTTTTTAAAATTATTAAAAAATATAAATACATATTTTATCATTATATTTATATATCCAATTAATGTATATATAATATTAAATTGATAAATATAATATATATGTATATATCAAATGATATGTAAACAAATAACATATATTTTAATACACATAATTAATTTTTTATTCATTTTTCCTTTCAATTTTTGAGAGATTAATTTTGGTGAGTTAAAAGAAAAATTAATTTACCTATTTTTCTATCTTTCATTATTAGACATGATGTTTTATCTATCCCTCAATTTTTCATCTTTTTAACTTTTTATCCTTCTATTTTCTTATTTTACCAAACAAAGCATTAGAGTACTAGTGTTCTGCCTACGTTTCACAATCACTTGTGACTGGTACTAAATTTCAGATTTGAGGCGACGATAAATGCTTATTTGTGCAGATAATATATTCCTAAGTTTAGAGTTTAAAAATTAATCTTTTTAATTTTATCTTTTAAATTCTACTATAAACAGTAGTTCAGTGCAATCAACTGATTGGACCGACCTTGGACGGAGTGAAGTTACTAATGAAATTATTGGTTGTGATTTACATGTTATGAGTTTAAAATGTGACAGCGCATATCATACCATCATCGGAACGTAGGAGGTGNGGGGGTAGTGAATGCATCTGCTCCCACCGCAATCTTATGATAATTTGGGATTTTTTTTAAAAATTATAATTTTTTAGATCATACACCCACTAAAAATTTTTTAAAAACATTTAGGGGTTGTTTTATATTTTTAAAAATAAAAATATTTTTTTCTAAAATTAAAGAAAAAAAGGAGACTTATTCTTCAAGAGCAATTCTATTGGGACCTAATTTCTTGACTTAATTCACGATGACTTTTAGATTGATTATGAGTTCCATCAAATATTAAAATTTGGTGTTAATCCAATGGTTCCAATGAAACCACGTCATTACGTCAACAAATTATGTCAGATTTTTAAGTCTAAATAACATTTTTCAATCTTCAATCTCTAATTCCCTCTCTTCTCTATATAGACCGACACAATCGCCTGAATTTTCCTCTTTTTTCTGACGGCCATGATATATGTTTTGCTTAAAGGCTTGAAGGGTCGTCGATGATTACTCAAATTTTTTTTGAGTTAGGAAGAATGTTGATGATTTTAGTCATTGCTCCTTTTTTGTCCTTCACTTACATCTACTCTCCTCTCATCGGTGTTTAGATGTGAATTAAAATTGAGACTTGGAGCTTGAACTCTGAACTATGAAATTGGAGTTTGAACTTATAAATTCTACAATTGAAATTATAATTATTTGAACAAGTAAAAAATTCAAAAATGGAAAAACCACATAAACACGATACAAAAAATCCTGACTTTCTTTTTTTGAAGTTGTCCCATTAATACCNTAAAAAATTCAAAGATGGAAAAACCACCTAAACACGATACAAAAAATCCTGACTTTCTTTTTTTGAAGTTGTCCCATTAATACCAACTCACCCAAGTTTCCCACAGCCTTATAATTCAGTTCCTTTGTAAACTAAAGTCAGTGTAAGAACAAGAGAAAGGTGGTTTGTTTATTGTTCAAGGTCATCCTATCAAAAAACGTTGGGATTTTGAGTGTTAAGTAAAACATTACTAGGATTTCCAGAAGTCAAAAACAAAATTATTTGCACTTGAGTGAGGCTAGAAAATAAGAGAATAAGTGACTCTTAGGGTCACAAGGAAAAAAAAAACACTTGGGTTTTGAAGTGTTAAAAAAAAACTAATTTATACTCTTTATAATTGAAAGCATTGTAAAAAGAATTTGATTTATTATTTTATCTTTAATTATTACTATAAAGTCAAATAAACTCACGTGTTCTGATTAATATTATTCTTTTTCTTTTCATGTTCTATTAACCTACAAAATTCATTTGAACCAAAACTCTTCTTATTAGATAACGTTATGTCTCTAATTATTCACTTATTCTGTAGAGTTAAATCTTTAATTACAATTGTAACTCTGAAAAGTGAAAACTCCAATCACTGTATAATACACATACATAAATATTATGATCTAGAATTTTATTAGTATATAGTTGTCAGATTAGATTCTATGATCAAATATATTTCATACTTATTTTTTTCAGTATTCAATAATATCATAATATTTACACAAATAAGTCTATTACAATTTAATCAATCTATTTGTTAATATAATATAATAACCTATAATATAATTAGATATTCAAATACTCCATAACGATAATTTTTAAGCAGAAAGGGAGGAGGAAAGAATGACAAGTTAAGTACTAAATGAGGGGTATAATAGATCAATAATTAAAATAAAAATTAATTATTTAATATATAATTTATTGTCCAATTTAATTACAAATAATTTTTTATTAAAAAATTATTATTTAAATATATTTACGTATAATGCACGTCGTGCATTGCTAATACATTACTAAATTTGTGCAAGACAAAATTAATTTTTTTTCTCAGTGATAACCGGATTTATTATTCTATAATGATACATTAACAATCTACTAATATTTATCTCACTCCAAGTGAGTAATGAGAGAGTATTGTTCGGCATCATCCAATTGGAACAAATGAGAATGGGTTNTGTTTTATCTATCCCTCAATTTTTCATCTTTTTAACTTTTTATCCTTCTATTTTCTTATTTTACCAAACAAAGCATTAGAGTACTAGTGTTCTGCCTACGTTTCACAATCACTTGTGACTGGTACTAAATTTCAGATTTGAGGCGACGATAAATGCTTATTTGTGCAGATAATATATTCCTAAGTTTAGAGTTTAAAAATTAATCTTTTTAATTTTATCTTTTAAATTCTACTATAAACAGTAGTTCAGTGCAATCAACTGATTGGACCGACCTTGGACGGAGTGAAGTTACTAATGAAATTATTGGTTGTGATTTACATGTTATGAGTTTAAAATGTGACAGCGCTAATTGGTGTATTATTTGAGAAATCAACGAGCATTGAAAAACCATAGTTGGAGGACCAGAGGTCCCCTTCAAGCCAAGCACAAAAAANCATATCATACCATCATCGGAACGTAGGAGGTGTTAGACTGCTTTTTAATTGGTGTATTATTTGAGAAATCAACGAGCATTGAAAAACCATAGTTGGAGGACNAAAAAATTTTTATTAAAAAATTATTATTTAAATATATTTACGTATAATGCACGTCGTGCATTGCTAATACATTACTAAATTTGTGCAAGTCAAAATTAATTTTTTTTCTCAGTGATAACCGGATTTATTATTCTATAATGATACATTAACAATCTACTAATATTTATCTCACTCCAAGTGAGTAATGAGAGAGTATTGTTCGGCATCATCCAATTGGAACAAATGAGAATGGGTTTGTAAAAAAGCTAACATAAGTAGAGTTGCAAAAGGCAAAAACTTAAAAAGTTCTTTTCATTTAATGTCAAGATAGGAATCAAAGAAAGTATGATGCTTATGGTCACTCAAAGGAAAGCAATTGGGATTTTCAATGTCAAAAAGCTAATAATTACATGACGGTTCTAGATTTGAAGCGGATATCTCCGTTAATATATATATATATTTTGTCTAATTATAGTATTAATGAATTTATTATTATATTATTGGTGATAATTTATTATGTTCTCAAATTATGTTTATAAATTATGTCCCAATAGTATTACTCGATTAAAAAAGG